GAGGTGGATGTCCTTCCCTGGGTGGGATGGGTGGGTGTTGGCCCTGAAAAGCCCCTATGGGGAGTGGTAAATTAACCTATGTAGGTAACCTATGTATGTATGTATATATGTATACCTTCAAATACAAGGAACTGGTGACCAGTTATGAGGTTTCTCTAGTTTGTTATTGTAAGAGAATATGAAAAGAAACTCGACGTAAAGAAGGGGTAAGGACAAGAATAGTTAATTTAGACCTGAACTTAAAGATTCCAATGGAAAATGAATAAGTTGTAACAAAAAAAAAGCTTTCGCTTTTTATATACTTTTGAACTATTCCACTGAAACCAATCACGACTTGAAATGAAGAAGTTTGCCATGTTGTTAACCTTACGTGAGACTAAAGAACATCATAGTCTTTCAGTGCTAACCTTTAGAGTGTCCATGGACAGCAAAAAGCATAAAACTCATCGCGAATATCAAGTGCCATCTCTCCATGATGCTTTGTGTCTTGCTTTGGAAAAGTGCTGTCAAAGATGCCAGGTTCTGTTCTCAGTTCAGTTTGGTATTTATGGGTCCTAATATTTACAGGTGGCTTCCAAGCACATATTTGACATTTACTGGGCGATACTTATCTCTCTTATACACTTACAAGCAGATGTTTCTCATGTCGTGACTATCCAGGCGTTCAAGCCAAAAATCAGAAGATAAGTAACTCTCTGGCACGAATATGAGGAAATAAAAAAAGAAGTCACAATGCTTGTGTCCTTATGCCGTTCTCTGATGAAATGTTATCCAAAAGATCTTTTCAACCCGACTCTCGATTTAGAACCTGTAACTAGTCGTTGTGGGAAACGCAGAGCAGAAAATTGTCATTCATTGACTGGACTGGTTATGCTTTGGGTAAGAATGACTAATTTCGGTTGCACAGTGCAGTTTCAATCGGTCTACTTTCGAAATAACCCACGCGGGTGTTGGAGGACACTTAATGAAACGCTTATACATGTAAAAGGAAAAAAATCCAGACATTGTTTGGATGCATTTCTGAAATTCTTCCGAGGGTAACTTTTTTCCTCTCGCCGTCGTCAGACTTTCAGTATTGGTTAACACCAGGCTTAAAATATATGCATGATTGAATTATACAGATCTGCATGTGATCTTTAAAAGAAGTGCATAGTTCCAGCAGTTCCTTTTTTAACCGTGGCGTGGGAGCAGAAATTTATTGAAATTTTATCGATCATTTGTCTTAAGGCTCACGGCACGAACGAATCAGATCAAATACGCCTGAAAGGGTTATTTAATCAGATATTTGCCTTGCCAACATTTCCGAACTCCTCCCAAAGTTCCTTGCGATTGCTAATAATTTACCCACTTCAAACGAACCAAAATGCCTTGGGGAGTTTACCTTTAAGATTTATCAAAAATTGGTTTCAAAATCTTATAAATGATGATGTGGATGAAATTTTGAGTATCATAGTGAACATCTCAAGCCTAAACATATCACGAGCCGTCATGCTTTTATGTGGAAGGCTTCGAGACGGTGTCAACAGCTACTTTA